TTGTCCAAGAACTTCTCAACCACCCTTGTGGTTAGGGAGAATCGAATTTGTCAATATGGGCAAAAGTCACTTTGTTCATGGCCATTTTCATGTTCATAACACTTTGCATTTTTCAAGTCAGCTTGCACAAGCTAGGTTACAGGCCTCTAATCGCATTTGCACTCAATAATTCAATGCTAAACCTTTGTGCCAAGATGTTATTTTGCTCATTTGGTCATTACATGGAAGTTTAATCCATAATTAGAAAAAGTGACTTATCTATTCTTGTAAAGATCAACTTTATGTCAAACACAAATCTAAGAATTACCAAAGCAGATCTTTTGGGCACAAGATTATGAACCAATTCCACTGATCAAAAGTGATTTGTGCAGCATGCTTGAGGGGCCTGTATGAGCCTATAACCCAACTTGACAAACTTTGCTTAAGAGAGAAAAAAACTTTGCAAAACGGATCATATCTCTCATTACTGCAAGAACTAGCCAAAGCAAACATTGTGAACACATTTTATACTTCATAACAGACCTAAGGCACGACCTAACCACCTTCAATACCTCCCCAAACATCAAAACACCATTTTGTTGCACAAAACAGGGCATCCCTGCAGATTGAGTTGCACAACTCAGTTTGCTCGTGCGTTTTGGCCAAAGCCGATTCATACACACTCCATAACATCCATACAAGCTATCCCAAGCCCTAGCTACAGACTGTAACACCTCTAGCCAAGTTCACCATTTTCATTTTTTCAGTTGTGCAGGTTGAGTTACATAGCTCGTTTCAGTTAGTTTTAAAGCAAGCTAGAGGTTGGAAGAGCATCCTTGGACCTCAAGCAAGATGTACAAGTCCTCACATTGCATTGAAAGTACCTCCATTGCTGCACACGATTCCAGATGAATAGGTAAAACTTTGGACTTCTATCTCTCAATCTAGGAAGAGTTAGGCTTAGGTTTATGAATGAAACATGCTCTACTCATGGCCCTGAAGCTACCTATATCCTCACTTTTCATTTATATTGTGTGTGTTAAGAGAATTTGGAACCTGAACATTGGAAAAAACTTAGGTAAAAAATTGGGGATGAAGAAATTCTCCCTCGTTTCTTAGAGTTAAGTCAAGTTTTTTATATGTCTGGATTCGTCTCTTGATGCTCTACGTTTTTGGTGTTATGAGTTTTGCTTGAAAGTCCAGGAATCAGGAGTTAGGAAGCACGTGTTTTTGTTGTTCAAACAAGTCTGGAGGTTGAAGATGACTGGCTTGGGCTGGGCCTGAGTCAGTCCTACTTTTTGCACCCTTTTTTTCTTCAGTTTGCACCCCCTGGCCCATTATGTGATATATTTGTCATTTTTCATTTTTTCTTTTTGATTCTGATTTTATATTTTTATTCAAACATGAAAAAACACTAAAAATATTTTTTCCACATTTTTTGCATTTTATTTGGAATTTATTTGTTTCATTTAGTTCTATATGTAAATAAATATATATATACTCTTATTTAAAATACTAAAAAATAATACAAAATACATTTTATTTTCTGATTTTTATTTTATTTTATATTTGGAAAACATTTTCTCAAAATATACTTTTTTTTGGTAAATAATAAATATTTTTATACATATTTAATATATTTAGTACATAATATAAATAATTATATATTTAGAATATTTAGGATAAAAATACAAAAAATAATACATTTTTTATTTTTATTAATATTTAACCTCAAAAATCACTTTTTCATAATATACTTCCTTTTTATTTATTTTTTGTATATAATTAATAAAAATTGTATATAATAATTGATAAATATTATTATTTAGAAAATTAGGGTTTTACCCTAAAAACACAAAATATCCAAAATTGATTCTTTTATTTTTGTTTATATTTCACATAGAAAAAAAATATACTTTTACATACATATAAAAATCATTTTTTTTGCATCTTGCATACTTATTGTATTTTATTTAATTATTGTACAATTAAATAATTTGTATATCCAATTTGGATTGTGATAGCTTAGATTTTAATTTCTTGCTAAATATCCCCATTTGAACATTTGTACCCCCTATCCCATAATTGTGTTGTAATAATTTAGGATTTTATTTTTCGCATTTAAAAGCTTTCTAAATATGCCATGATAGACTTAGGGTTTGTATGCAAAAATCAAATAACAAATAGTTTGACCTAATTCAAAGACAAAAAAGCATGAAAATGGACAAGACCAATCACACTTGCACCCCTAGGGTTACTCCACTTGTTGCCTTCAATAATGGGCCATGTTGCATGTTGAGTGTTTTTGGCAAAACAAAACAATATCAAATGATCATAGTCCCTCGATGACGCTTTCGAAAGTTGCCTAAAAATGATCAAGTCCCTTAAAGGAAAAAGTTGCCAAAGACACTTGGCACCATTACAATCATGGTCTAAACGATGACCCGCGCCCGTCCCGTTAACATCCTAACACAAGATTGGCCACCAAATACAATGGTGGAACAAAATTGTTAAAAGGGTTAAAACATAGAAAAAACCTTTGAGAAATTTAGGGTAGATAGCTCTTGGTTACTTGACCAAATCTTGCAAAACAATCCTTGCCATTTTTTCAAAACACACATCACAACACACTTTCAAAACAACTTTCAAAAACATTGAAAACTTTTCAAAAGATAAGTACACCTTTGTATACATTCAAACATGGATCATTACAAAGGTTGCCACAATAAATGGCCTCTTTTCAAAACATTTTCAAACCCACATACAAAGCACCATTTCAAACAATTGAAAGCACCATTTCAAACAATTGAAAATGCAAGGCAAGTGATCTAAGCAAGTAACTAAGAGCCCATGGATAACCATGGATAGAAAGGGTGCTAATACCTTCCCTTTCTATAATCTACTCCCCGAACCCAAGAAAACATCTCAAAGGTTTTTGCTGTGCTTTTTTAACCTTTCCTTAGGATAAAATAAAAAGTCGGTGGCGACTCTTGCTCAACCGAAACATTTGCGAAAACAAACGCAAAACCCAAGTCAGTTCTCCCACCGTATCATATTCTCATATTCCAAGACTATGTTTGGAGCTTGTCTTACTCCATTTTCGGTCACATGTGCTATGTGTGGTCTCTACTTATTTTAAAAAAAAATAGATTAATCACATATCAATGTACCATGCAAGCCGAGGAATACAATGTTGGTGGATTGATATACTAGTTTTCAAGCAGAGGAAACGCAAGCCGAGTTAAATTTCAAAACAACATAGACTAGTTTTCATTTTTCTATTTTGAAAACAACAATTTTGAAATCAATCCTAACAAACAATTTTCAAAAACAAGTAAGCCAAACAAAGTTTTCATTTTTAAGCTTCTCTCATATTTATTAGTATATTTAAAATTAAATTTGTTAAAAACATGAGCACATATGAATTATGAGCCTCCAATATCTATTTTATATGTTATTCACTGTCTGCATTTTATATGTTGCAACAGGAGATAAACATGGAAAATGTTGGTAACATCGATCCACTTATTTCACAAGATAGTGCACACAAATTAACTCCCGACATGGAAGAAAGTTTCAACTCTTCGCTTAATGGCCTGACACCACCAAAGGAAACAATTGAAACACCTAATGATGAGACAACTGATAGAATATACAAGTGATAATATAGAGGCATTGGCAGAAACAAAGAAAGGAAGACTTAGGAGTAAGGCTTGGGATCATTTTATAAAGGTGAAAGTTAATGGAGAGGATAAGGCTCAATGTAAATATTGTAAGAAATTTCTTGGTGGAAAATCGAGCAATGGAACGAAACACTTGCTTCAACATATGGAGACATGCACTCATCGCAAAATTCATGAGAACAAGACTACAAAAGGACAAACATTTCTCATGCTAAATAACTTGCAAGGAAAGCAAGAATTAGGAGTTGGTAATTATAATGCTGAAAAATCAAGGAAAGAGCTTGCACGTGATATAATTATGCATGAGTATCCACTTTCAATTGTAGATCATATTGGTTTTCGATGATTTGTTACTTCTCTACAACCATTGTTTCATGTTCCTTGTAGAAATACTATTAGGAAGGAGATATTTAAAGTGTACGAGATTGAGAAGACAATAACTTCAAAGTCATTAGATAGTCTTCAAGCAAGAGTGGCGATTACTTCAGACATGTGGACTTCAAGCAATCAAAAAAAGGGATATATGGCTGTTACTGCACATTATATTGATGGATCTTTGAATTTGCAGAGTTGCATCTTGAGGTAATTGCAATTTTTTATGTCTAGTTTAAGCATAAATATAATATGTTAGCTTCATTTATTTCATATTTTGAATTTTATTAATATGCTAGGTTCATTTATATTCCTGCTCCTCACTCAAGTGATAGACTTTGTGCTGCTTTAGTTAAGTGTTTAATGGACTGGAGTATCGATACAAAATTGTCAACTATCACTTTAGATAATTGTAGCACAAATGATGCTGTGATGGAAAAAATTAAGGAGAAGTTGCATTTAAGTACTTTGTTGAGGGATGGATCTTTACTTCATATGCGTTGTTGCGCATAAATATTAAATTTGAAAGTAAAGGATGGTTTAGAAATAGTGAAAGATGGAATAGAAAAGATTCGGGATATTGTAGCTTATTGGACTGCAACTCCTAAAAGAAGAGAAAAATTTGAGGAGACAACTAAGCAATTGCGAATTTCTTGCACTAAAACTTTAAGTTTAGATTGTCCGACTAGATGGAATTCCACCTATAAAATAATTGACATTGATATTTTGTATGAGGATGTATTTAGTCGTTTAAGGCTACGTGACACTCGATACACTTGCGTTCCAACTAGTTCACAATGGAAATTTGCAAAAGATGTTTGTGAAAGATTGGAGTTGTTCAATAAAATCACTGAAATCATTTCTGGCACTAAGTATCCCACTACCAAAATGTTTTTTCCTGAGATTTGTAAGATTAAATTTGCAATATCTGATTGGATTAACTCTTCCAATTTATCGATCAAAGAAATGGCTAACAAGATGTTGCAAAAATTTGATAAATATTGGAGTGTCACCCATGACATAATGGGAATTGCTAGTGTTTTGGATCCTAGATACAAAATGGAGTTACTTGAATACTATTATGAAAAATTGTATGAACAAGACTCTTTTGAGCAATTTAAGAGGATTCAACAACTATGTTATGACTTAATTATTGATTATCAATTGAAGTTGAACCAAGAGAATTATGGTGACTCACCAATGTTGGAATCTAGTCAGATGGCTAATGATGGTTTAGATGATTATGATGCATATGTTCGGAAGAAAAAAAAGCTAGAACTTCATATGTTAAAACAAAATTGGATCATTATTTGGAAGAGGAAGTTTTACCGCGAAGTCCTGATTTTGATATTCTATTGTGGTGGAAGTTAAATGGCATCAAATATCCAACACTCCAAGCAATTGCAAAAGATATTTTAGCAATTCCTATTTCTACAGTAGCTTCAGAATCTGTATTCAGCACTAGCGGTCATATTTTAAGCCCACATCATAGTCGACTTCATTGGACAACTTTAGAGGCTTTGATGTATGCTAGAAGCTGGTTAAGGAGTACTGAAAGTAGTGATATGCTTTTATATTATTTTGTCAATTTTTATATATTATGAAATGACATATAACTTTGTATTTATTAATTGATTATTATTCATATTTTTAGGTGGTATGAGTTCTATGTTAAGCAATGACTACACAACTTTATTCGATGAAATAGAGCCCGATGAAGAAGGTAAAAGTTTCCTTTGATTGATTTATTTATTATTTTCTAATATGAAGTGACTAATATGGATTTTTAGTAACCAATTTGTTAATAGAATATAAGAGTAACCAAGTTTTGAATTTTATTCTTATTTATTATTAATGTTTGTATTTTAATTTGTATTTTTTATATAGGTGAGCTATTGACTAGTGGTGTTATTTCCCTCTTTGAAGACGGAGAATAGCATTTAGAAAGAAGACAATATTGGTGTTGGCCACTTATCTATTTTTGTTAGCAATTTCCATAGACAATGATATTGAATACTTTTAGTTATATGGTTGTTTTGTTGGTATTTTGGAATGTAGAATGTGGTTATTTTGTTGGTATTTTGGAATTTAGAATGTGGTTGTTTTGTTGGTATTTTGGAATGTAGAATACTTTTTACTATGTGTTTGTTTGGATGGTAGTTTGGAATATGAATTTGTATTTTTTTATTTAGTTTTTATATTTTGGATTATTTGGTTTTGTTAATTTGAAATATTAATTATATGGTTACTGAATTAATACTTTCGTTTTTATTTTTTATTATTTGAAATATATGTTTGAAATTCTTTAAGATTATATTTTACTTTTGTAATATAAGTTCATATTTGTTAGAATTGGGGCGGGTTTTGGGTTCGGGGTGATTTTTGGGTTCGGGGAAGGATTTGGGTTAAGGCAAGTTTTGGATTTGGGTTTGGGTCGAGGATCCCCGAACCCATTTGGGACGGGTTTAGGACTCAATTATTCATCCCCGACGGGGATCGGGGCGGGGAATGGGGATTTATCTGGGATCCAGGTTTGGGGTTGGGGAATATAAAAAACCGTCCCCGCCCCGCCCCGTTGCCATGCCTAGTCTTGATCTTCTCTGACATGTCTGGCCGTATGCGATGGACTTTCTGTTTTACCAAAGGACAGTCTTCTTTTGTTGGTAGATGATGGACCACGATATCAGTGTCAAGTCCTGGCATGTCTTAGTATGACCAAGAAAAGACCTCAACATAATCATGTAGAAACTGGGTTAAACGCTTCTTGACACTAGGTTCCAGATTGGCACCCACCTTGACTTCTTTCTTGTCCTCTTCGATACCTAAGTTAACTGTGTCCACTAGTTTTCGTGGGGGTGTATGGTCCTTTCTTCCTGTTGTAGTAACCTGGCTAGTTCCTCTGGCACTTCACAATCTTCCTCACCTTCGTCTTTGGCTTGGTAGATTAGATTTTCGAAGTCACCATAGGCCATAGCAGAATCGTTACCCATGGGATTCTGAGTGGATGTAGATCTTCATTTTGATATGTGAGTGTGTGTAAGAGCTTATCTATTTTTGAAAGAAATAAAAATGTAGAAAAAGAAAAACAAAGAGCGTAAAGTTTGTATGCAAAAACGTCCATGATTCATTGGTGACATATGACAATGAAGTAACAACCCTTACAAATGAACCATTGTGCCTCGGGTAAGACACAAGGTTTTAAAAGTCTGAATTGTTTAATTATTACAGGTCCGACAAAAATTTAAACATAATTACTATTGGATAAAAGTAATTGGGAAATAATCTTTAGCTTCCCAGTTGGTGAGTCCTCCGTTGATAGTTGGGAAAATCCATTCTTCTAGGTCACAGCCGTCATCACTATCCTCCACTATTTTGACTGCATGGTTGCTGATCTTCAAAGGTGGTCCCCCGACATGAGCACGACGAACAACTTTCTGGGCTCCCGAAGTGAAACCCAAACCAAATTTTTTAGATTTGTAAGGGATATCTGGGAGTTGGCCCCAAATAGTACACCGACCTTCTTCGACTACTGCCTTGGCATCTTTTAGAGAAGACATCTTTAGCGGCGGTCTTGTAATCTTTGGTACTTGGGAAACAATATTGCTTGCTGCAACTGCTTGCGGGACTTCCTCGAAATGTTGAAACGGAGTTTCAATGAATTCACCATCCAATTCCATGTATCTGAAGGAGTTCAAGTGACTGACCATATATTCTTCCTCTCCATGAACAATGATGATTTTTCCTTTGGTTTGGTATTTCAGTATCTAATGTAATGTAGAGGTGACAACACCAGCGTTGTGAATTCAAGGTCGGCCCAATAAACTAGAATAGGAATGGAGAATGTCCATCAGTAAAAAGTTGAATCGAAGGTTTTAGTTCCAACATTAATGGGGATGTCCACCTCCCCATGCACCATTCTCTTTGAACCGTCAAAGGCCCTTACCACTATGTTGCTGGGTTTTAAGGTCAAACCTTCACGGTCTAGTCTATCAAGAGCCTTCTTAGGAAGCACATTTAAAGATGAAAGGGAATCAACCCGGACATGGACCAAAGTTGTGCCCCTGCATTCGACAGAGACATGCAACACCTCGTTGTGTTTCCTCCCTCTAGGTGTCAGGTCAGCATCAAAAAATCCTAAACCGTTGTCAGCTGTTAAACTGGCCACACATTCTTCGAATTGGTCAGCAGAGGTTTCTTGTGGTACATGGGAAGTTTTAAGAAATTTCACCAAGGCCTTCGCATGAGCCTCGGAGCATAACAATAAAGCTAGCATAGAAATCTTTGACGGAGTTTGCCCTAGCTGTTTGACTATGTTGTAGTCACTTCTCTTTATAATTTTCAGAATTTCTTCCATCTCCTTTTTGGGACTTCCGGGATAGATACTGATTGTGCCTCCATTCGGATAGGCTCAACCAGAATGCCTTTTCCCCGAGTCTCGGTCGACTCGGCGGTAGGGGTGTCAGTAGGGGTAACCACGGGAATTGTAATAGTAGTGTCAATAGGAACAAAAGAAGGGATGATCACAGGACCGGTAATAGTTTTCAGAGGAGAAATCTCCGGGGAGAATACTCTTCCACTTCAGGTTATTTTGCTGGTTCCCGCAATGTTGCCGATGTCGGGGTCAGCCTTCTCAAAAATCGAGTCTTCATTAGTCAGCCAATCCTACTTGACGCCGTGATAGTAGACGTCGCCTCCATAGTTCCATGGGACAATTTTATCTGAGGAGTACGGGATTGGTCTTGGAATATTAATTATCAGTGGAGTCACCTTAGGAACAGATGTAATCCTAACGGGTCTTTTGGTGGAGACCCTGGAAGGATTGGCCAAAATGGTTACTATTGAAACATCATTGTAAGAAATGGTTGGAACGGGAGTCTTTTCAAACAAAATCTCTTTGTCATCCATCAGGCGCTGAATACCTACTTTCAGTAAATAACAGCCAGATGGTAGGGATAAACAGAGGTGGCAGCTTTCGTCACATCTGGAAATAAACTGGCCTTCAATAGGTTCCTCTTGACAGTCAGGAGAGGAGTAACAAGTTCATCAACAACAGTAACAAACACATCATCTTCAACAATGTTAACATCACGGCCATGCTTGGGAATAGGAGCCGTGACAACATTTGGGATCTCAAGAGCATCAAATTCAATTTCTTTTTCCTTGAGAAGGTCTTGCACCTTGTTTTTCAAAGCCCAATAGTTGTTGGTATCATGGTCTGGACTTTCTGAATGGTAAGCACAACGAGTGTTAGGGTGGTAATAAGGAGAGGGGGTGTTGGGATTCTTAGGGGTATCCTTCAAAGTTACCAGATTAGATCTTAATAAATTTGGCAGCACTTGAGACAGCGTCATATTTATCCAGGTGAATTTTCTTACCGATCTTTCTGTTCTAGACTGATTACTCCTTTGTTGAGTAGGTGCAGGCTTAGGGATCATGACGGCCCCTACCATTGGACGATGTTCAATTCTATCTTGATTCCTTTGAGGGTATATATCACCAACTTCTTTCTTCCCAATAAATGATTTTCTCACAGCACTGGAGGATGCGTCCTTTTGGATCTTCCCACTCTTAATCCCAGCTTCTACTCTTTCACCAGTCAAGATTAATTCAATGAAGCCTGCTGAGGAGCTTCCAATTAGATGATTGAAGAAAGGACCGGACAGGGTACCTAAAAACATGTCTACTAGCTCTCTGTCAGATAGGGGAGGCTGGACTCTTCCTTCTAAGTCCCTCCATTTCTGAGTGTAGTCTTTGAAACCTTCGCTTGACACCATAGCCATACTCTAGAGTTGAGTACGGGTGAGAGCAAGGTATGTGTTGTATTGATATTGTTTATAAAAAGCAGCGGCAAGGTCTTCCCAATTATGGATATTGGCCCTTTCCAGTTGATATAACCAATCTAGTTGAGTTCTTGATAGACTATCTTGAAAGAAGTGGACCCATAAATCTCTGTCAACAGTGTGAGGCTGTATCTTCCTCACATAAGATCGGAGGTGCATCTTGGGACACGAAATGCCGTAGTACTTAGAAAACACTAGTGCCTTGAACTTTGGTGGAATAACAATCCCAGACACCAAACCCAACTCTTCAAAGTCTAGCCCGGGCACTTTCTGAATTTCCATTGCACTTAGACGCTCTTCCAGATGTTTGTATTTGTCGTCGGTCGGAGGATACTGCTCTTCAGTGTAATCATATTCTTCTTCCTCTTCAAATTTTGGCTGGGCAATCACTTCCTTGCCTTTCCCTTCTTGATTATCCTTTTCACCAGATGATGTTGTGAAGTCTAGGGTCCGTCTGGCTGGCCCTGGGAACCTTCTTCCTATATTCAAAACACCGGTTGATTTCTTTTCTTTCTTCTTCTTTTCTTCGAT